GACACTGGTTACTTGGGTTAGCGCTGTTGAGCGCTTGTGACTGGAACTCTTAATTGCTTATATGATAATTTGTTGGGATTCTAAAGCTGCACTACCTGGTCTTCATCTATCTGGCCTCCAGTGTGACTTTGTGTGATCTAGTTCATGCATGGTGTGTGATTGTGTGCGCTCATTGGTGGTGAACTGAGAGGTTCGTTGCAAAACCTGAGTATTTACTATTTATGCTCGTCTCTGGAAAGAGAGCATGATTATGATACAGACTCTGATTTCGTCTGAGTGGACTTTGAGAGCTCTGCTCCTCTGTTCGATGAATGTGTTTGAGTCCTTAGAGGAGCTAGAGGTGGAGTGGTCTAGATCAGACCCACTAGCTTCTTGGACGGCCCTAGTCAAAGCCCCTAAGGGTGAGATGTTCGTCAGTGAGGTTGTCATTGGCGGCCGCAAGGCCCCGCGGGGCCTATTATGACACTTGCTCGACACAAAACTTTATCAGTCGCCAGCGCGTTGAGAGGTTGTGTTTACAGGGGCGTGTGCAGCGTCTGAGTCGACCTGTGGAGTCGACCTGTGCCAACAAACAGCGCATGGTAGTCAATGACTACTTCCAGGATGTAGAGTGTTGTTTCCCGTACGCGGGAGGGAAATTGAGACATCGCGTCTCGTTCCTAGTGAGTGACGAACTCCCCATTGACATGTTGTTAGGTATGTACTACCTCTCTGTGGCACAGCCCCAGTTTGACTGGGACCGAAAAGTGGTCAAACACACTTTGCCAGGTGGAGGGACCGCCAGATTACGTAAGTTCAAAGCTAGTAGTCTGATTGAGTCCTATGGGTGCATGTGTGCGGCCTCATTCTATAACTATTATAAGCAAAATCAGGAGGAGGGTATGTACCTAGTTTATGTCTCTGTTGCAGGCGAGCCGGTGAAAATGCTGCCGGAGATAGAGGGAGTAGTTGCCAAGTACCCTGATATATTTGAAGAGCCGACAGGGGTTGTAGAGAGGGAGGTCATCCACGCGATAGAGATTATCCCAGGGTCTAGCATCCCGAAGGGTAGGATCTGTCGGATGTCTCCAGGCGAGCTCGATGAGCTTCGCCGACAGCTCAAGGAACTCGTAGAGAAGGGTTGGATCCGGTCGAGTGTCTCTGATCTCCAGTACTATTCGTACCTAAGAAGAAGGAGGGTACACTTAGGATGTGCATTGACTATAGGGGCCTCAATGCCATCACTATAAAGAACAGAGAGCCCCTACCGCGCATCGATGATCTGTTAGATAGAGTGCAAGGGTGTCGGTACTTCAGTAAGATAGATCTGAAGTCCGGGTACCATCAGCTTGCAATCCGGCCCAAGGATCAACACAAAACCGCCTTTCAAACCAGGTACGGTCTGTACGAGTTTGTGGTGATGCCTTTCGGCCTTTGCAATGCTCCTGGCACCTTTCAACACGCTATGAATCGGATATTCCATGACTACTTGGATAAGTTTGTCATCGTGTACCTCGATGACATACTTATTTTTAGTAAGACTGTTGAGGAGCATGTTGCACACTTGGATAAAGTCCTTAGTCTCCTGCGACAACACAAGTTCAAGATCAACGGTGAGAAGTGCGAGTTTGGCCGCACCCGTGTCTTGTACTTGGGTCATGAGATTTCCGCGGAAGGGTTGAAGCCCGATGACGCGAAGGTGGCCAACATTCGTGACTGGCCGCGTCCTAAGTCTGTGACTGAGATGAGATCATTCTTAGGGATGACCGGCTACTATCGCAACTTCGTGGAGAACTATAGCATAGTTGCCGTTCCTTTGACTGATCTGACCCGCCTTGACACACCATGGGAGTGGACTGAAAGATGCGAGGCTGCTTTCAGACATATGAAGCATGCGTTGACGCATTACGAAGTCTTGAAACTTCCTGATCCTGATAAGCCATTTACAGTAACTACGGATGCTAGCCAATATGACATAGGCGCCATACTTGCACAACATGAGGGGAAAACGTTGAGGCCAGTAGAGTACATGTCCAAAAAGATGCCCTCTCAGAAGTTGGCTAAGTCCACCTATGAGAAGGAACTCTATGCGGCTTGCAAGGCTCTGACCCATTGGAGGCTTTACCTCCTTGGGAGGTTCTTCATCCTCAGGACTGATCATCAGACCCTGAGATGGATGAGAACTCAGTCGGTACTCTCTGACGCTCTCAAGCGTTGGATCGAAGTCATAGAGCAGTATGACTTCGAGCCCCAGTACATCAAGGGCGAGCAAGAGTGGGATGCGGCATATCTTTGTCAACGTGGATAGATTTAGTAAGTATGCTAGGTTAGTAGCAATGCCGGAAACATCAAGGACGGAGTATGTGATTAGAATGTTTAAAGAGAACTGGGCCAGGGATTTTGGCCTACCGAAATCCATTATCAGTGACAGGGATGTCCGATTTACCAGCGAACTGTGGAAGGCCGCTGCTGCAGAGCAGGGAACCCAGTTGCAAATGACTTCTGGGAATCACCCAGAGGCTAACGGCCAAGCTGAGCAACTAAACCGCGCTGTACAGCATTTGTTAAGGCATTACATCAAGCCTAACCAGGTGGACTGGGATGAGAAGCTTGCTCTCATCGCCAGTCTGTACAACAACGCGGTACATAGCGCCACCGGGGTAAGCCCAAACAGTTTGCTATTGACTTTCAAGCCTAGGCTACCCTTAGATTTTCTCCTTCCTGAGAATCAGTCTACTGCTGCACCAAGAACTTCAGAATCTGCTTACCGATATGAACAGAAGATGCAGCAGGCTATAGAACAGATGCAACAGGCACAGGCGGCTATGATAGAATCTGCGAACAAACACCGCCGTGAGTCTTCATTTCAGGTTGGGGACAGAGTCTGGGTTAAGTCCTCAGAACTAGGACAGGAGCACGGGATCTCCCGCAAGCTCATGTCACAGTACTTGGACCATGGGAAGTCTTAGATATTGTGGGGACTGATCCGGATGGACCTTCTTACGTAATCCGGATCCCTGGTCATCTCCGTACTTACCCTGTCTTTCACGCCTCCAAGTTGGCACCTTTCAAAGAGACTGATCAGTTTCCATCTCGCCGCTCAATGCTGCCCCCAACCATGGACGGAGAGGTGGATATCGATAATATCGTGGAGCACAGGGAGATGCCAGTGGCAAGACCAACAGGCAGGGGACGTCCGCCGAAACCGAAGCTACAGTATCGCGTTCGGTTCCGTCATCACACTGATCCGAAGGAGGACCGCTGGTTCACCAGGGAGGAACTCATGCAGACCGCTCCTCAAGTCGTAGCCCACTACGAGAGATCTCTGCAGAAGGGAAAGCGCCCAATGATTGAAGATTGAGCTTCTCAGAGGACTGTTGAAGCTAAGGAGAAGGGAATGTGAGGCCAATGCCTCTATGAGCCCCTTATGGCCCCATTCTGAAGCATGCCGGCCGCCCTAAGTGAAGGCAGGCTCGACGAGGCCCTCAGGGCCCTGTTTTGGTCACCACGCAACTCAAGGAAATTCAGGCAGTTGCGCAGTGCCAGTTGGTTGAGAGAACCCAGGCCCTGGGCCGCCTGTGTGAATGTATGGAAAGCAGGCCCTGGGCTGGATACGGGTACTGGGCCGAACACAGGCCAAAGGCAGTTGGGTGCATGCAACCACCTCAGGCCCAAGGCCTGTTCTCGTGCGTGCTGGGCCTCAGGCTACCGGGGCGTACTGGAAGCTTCCTGGGACCGGACGCAGGCAGGCCACTTCGATATAGCAAAGGGCCTGCCTCCACATTCCTCATTCGGGTGCTGGCTGCATGCTGCGCTATTTGCTGGCTGGCGCCTACGCTCTCACGGGCGAGCAGGGAAGGAGCACGCAGCCATAGCCGAGCTGCGCTGCTGTAAGCTGGGTGATGCGCAGGGTGGTCCTTGGGTGCTAGTGGTATCTGTGTGTTGGGGAACGAGGTTGTGAGTGTGGCGAGAGACATACCTGGTGCTGGAAGCGTGCGACATTGGTCGCTGTATGCTCGTACTTCGGGAAAGCTGTTGACGTCATCTTTCGGCATCGTAGTATAGGCTAGATAGGATCTGCCACATGTAGTCTGGGCGCCGAGCGCCAGATAGGATATCAACTCTGGTTCTTCGTTGATGATGATGGGACTATTTCAGCATTGTCAATTCTGAACTCTTGGTGTGTTCTTATTTGGTGAATCTCGTGATGCAATCCTGCTGTTGGTTCGAGGTCACAACCATCTGGACTCATATGTATGATGCTGTTTGATTGCTGAAGTTCGCTATCGTGCTCTTTTTGCTTATATCCGAAACCATCAGGATTTGAAAATTTGAACCCATGGTCTGTACTCTTCTGATTCTGCCAGGACACGAACCCGTGCTCTGTGATCAGTGACAGGTGTGAGCGCTTGAGCCACATGGGCTGGGCTACTTCTTTGACATTGCCTTTAGCTGCTGCATTCGTCAATGCAGCCCTGAGAGGAGGAAACCCTCACCCTACCTTTGCGCAATGATATCCTCTCTCTCTGTTACTCTTTGTGTCTACTGTGCTGCGTGTCGTTTTGTTTTTCCATGTTTTCAGGCCTGTCAGAGGGCTCCAGCCTGCCTGGCCTGCTGTTTCCTGACCTGGTGTGTCCAGGCCTGTAAGAGGGCTGCAGCCTGCCTTCGCAGTTGATTTGTTGCGTCACTTGGCGCCAAACCAACGAAAAAGCACTTTGCAAATGACATACGCAGCAGTTCGCTCTGTTGTCGCAACCTGATGGATGGCAGCAATGCTGCAACACTCGTTCTGAAGACCCGCAGTGTAGCTGTTCGGCGCTTTCGAGTAGCGTGTTTCATCATGCCACACTCGGGCGGGACCCCTTAGGAGCCGATAGGTAACTCTAGCCTCTCCACGTTGGCTGTGTTTTAGTGTGACTTTGTGTCGATTCAGTCACAATGGTACTGTTGATCTGTTTGCATCTATTTTGAAATTTCCTTTCCATTGATTCGTGTTCCTTATATCTCATGCGGATAGGGAGTGGTCGTCTATTTATTATGCGCGGGTGCATTCATTTTTTTCATTGTAATTGACTGTAATTCCTAATTACTACTTTTGCGGAGGATGTACGTTCCAATTCGGTCCTTCAGAGGTATCGATTCGGGCCTTTAGGACATCCGTTAAAATTGGAACAATACAGAGAAGATTAGCATGGCCCATGCACAAGGATGATGTGCGTGAATCGAGGCGGGGG